TTAGGATCAACTTCATTATTGTCAAACTTCAAAAAATCCCTACAAGGTATCATTAATTTTTCACGAATTTTCCAACAAATTATCGACTTTCCCCCGTAATGAATCTCCCAGACCTAACTTGAATGCAAAAACTATTCTGGACTGTGCTTTAGTATCAACTCTATCATTTTCAAACTTCAAAAAATCCCTACAAAGTATCATTCATTTTTCACGAATTTTCTAATAAATTATCGACTTCCCCATGTAATGAATCTCCTAGACCTAACTTGAATGCAAAAACTATTCTGGACTGTGCTTTAGGATCAACTTCATCATTGTCAGACTTCAAAAAATCCCTACAAACTATCATTAATTTTTCACGAATTTTCCAAAAAATTATCGACTTCCCCCCGTAACGAATCTCCCAGACCTAACTTGAATGAAAAAACTATTCTGCACTGTGCTTTAGGATTAACTCTATCATTTTCGAACTTCAAAAAATCCCTAAAAAGTATCAATAATTTTTCACGAATTTTCCAACAAATTATCGACTTCCCCCCGTAATGAATCTCCCAGACCTAACTTGAATGTAAAAACTATTCTGGACTGTGCTTTAGGATCAACTCTATCATTCTCAAACTTCAAAAAATCCCTACAAAGCATCATTAATTTTTCACGAATTTTCTAATAAATTATCGACTTCCCCCCGTAATGAATCTCCCAGACCTAACTTGAATGCAAAAATTATTCTGGACTGTGCTTTAGGATCAACTGTATCATTCTCAAACTTCAAAAAATCCCTACAAAGTATCATTAATTTTTCACGAATTTTCCAACAAATTATCGGCTTCCTCCCGTAATGAATCTCCCAGACCTAACTTGAATGAAAAAACTATTCTGGACTGTGCTTTAGGATTAACTCTATCATTTTCGAACTTCAAAAAATCCCTACAAAGTATCATTAATTTTTCACGAATTTTCCAACAAATTATCGACTTCCCCCCGTAATGAATCTCCCAGACCTAACTTGAATGCAAAAACTATTCTGGACTGTGCTTTAGGATCAACTCTATCATTTTCAAACTTCAAAAAATCCCTACAAAGTATCATTAATTTTTCACGAATTTTCCAACAAATTATCGACTTCCCCCCGTAATGAATCTCCCAGACCTAACTTGAATGCAAAAACTCTTCTGAACTGTGCTTAAGGTTCAACTCCATCATTCTCAAATTCCAAAAAATACCCACAAGGCATCATTAATTCTCCACAAATTGTCAAAAAAATTATCGTTTTTTCCCCGTAGTGACTTTTCCAGACCTAACTTAACTGGAGAAAATATTCTCGAATGTGCCTGAGGGTTATTTCTACCTTTTCCGAATCCCAGAAATCGCCTACATAATATAATAATTCTATTTGATTCAATTTCGCGGTTTTTTAATTTTTCTTTTCAATAATTATCTGGTCGACTGTAATATACACGAATCTGAATATGAATATGAAGCTAACTTCAGCCACGTTTGGAAATGTAGGTAGCTAGTATTTTCCAGGTAACTAATTATTCTTCACCAAATTCATCAAGGCATTTCTGTAATACCTATAAATGTAACAAAAAATATCGTTACATAATGTGGACTTACAACACAATCTTCTTGTTTGGAAACGGATTTTATCCGGACAGATGGTCCAACAATTAATTCAGCTTTGAAAATTCATAGATATTATAGGCCTGGTCTGGCCAATAATAGTTAAGAGTTAAAATCCAACACAAATAATAAATAAATAATATGTAATATTTTCAAACAATAATCTCTCGTAACTTCCAAACGGGCATCTTTGGAACAAAATCCAAAGTTTAATAACAAAACAAACAAAAACAAAAGTGAAGAAGTGAGGTTAACTTTACTTTCATCTCGACCTCGAACCGACCAATCAGGACACCGAATTACAGCTATATGCTATACCGTTTAGGATCCGTGAATATGCCTGGGCGTACGGCACGAACAGTGATGTAAACATGGTAGGCAACCCTAACTGCACATTAGGGGCAGAAATCCGCGCCCACTTGTTATAAGTTAGTGTTAGATACCTGTAATAAAACTATGCAGTTTAGCCGAAAAAAATGTTCGTACTCATTACACTCCAAACACTACACTCAAAAAAATTATAATATGGAACATGATTGACATGAACATTCACAATTATTTTAAGGAGCTTGGTGATCATATATTGGACCAAGATCCTAGTAATAATCATTTACTTCAGCTGATCAACGCAATTTTACGTGTTTATTTTCTCGTTAGAATCCATTATCAGAATAAGGAAGCAAGTAGAATCACTGATAGAGTTAGGCAAATGTATAAAAAACTTGTAATTTTTAAGAACCAGTAGAATTAAAATCAGTTTTGCATCTAACTCCTAAATTTAAGTTTACATATAAGTATGTGTACCTTACAATCTAGTATTTTGTGCCTTTGAATTTGTCCAAGAATTGTTTAGGAATAACAAGTTTTATCTAACGTTTAAGTGTTGTTTTATTTTTTTGCCTCACAGGTCTACACAAAACACATACATTTAAGCACGTCTGGTATTTAGTTTTTAATGATACACTATGGATAACTAATTATATGTCACCTTTAAATGAAAGTATGTGTTATTTCTCGTTGTGGGTAATGCGCTTGTGTAGCTTCTTGCCCACAATGCGAAAGACTGGTTGCCTAACCATCTTTCCATCACTGCCGCGTACGGCAACTATACGGAACACGCAGTCCATTTCATACTCATGTCTCTGGCTCTGTACTACACAGGGGTTTGTACGACGCGACACAGCGTAATCAAAAACAAAGCCCCGAGTGATACAGAGCATCTTCTGGACGGCGCGCTCTGTACTACACAGGGGTTTGGCTTTACGCAGCGAGGGTGCAAAAATCGACTTTTATGGCTTGTGACCTGAAACGCAGCATACACAAACTGACACAAAGCATAGGTTTGTTAAGTACCTGACACACAGCATAGGTACACGACCTGATACAAAGCATAGGTTTAATAAGTATCTGACACACAGGATACATACACGACCTGACACAAAGCATAGGTCTCACACAAACCTGACACAACGCATAGGTTTTACAAATACCTGACACAAAGCAGACAATAATCACGTTTTAAAAATAGTAATTGAAAATAATTCACAAGAAAAAAATAGACGCCAATAACCCTTTCTAGTCGACACGGCGAGAATCAATCCTCTACTACCATCTTCGTCTGCCGAACCTTTTTCCCTTTGTTCAGTATCAATCCCTCTTTTTTTTGCTTGCAGTCCACGAGTGAAGACCGGTTACGTTTGGTAAACAAACACAGTGATGCAGATGGTGAATGGTTCAACCAATACAATTTGAAACAAAATTTTAAAATAAATGCGTAGTACATAAAATTAAGTTCTAACACTTTTAAATATTTCTCAACCGAAGAAATTAGAATTTCCTTTTCGCGACCAGAAAAAATTATCTGCACGCTTCTAGTACAGGAAACGTAGCAGCTTATAATAGGCCAACCTAGAACAAATTAGAGACAAGCTAGTTTGGCTGAAATCGACACATAACGACTAGTAGTATAACATACAGTATAACTAAAAGTCCCATTGAAGTTTAAAAAGTCCCTTTTAAAGGGCCCCATACACTACGATGAAACACGACGGTTTTCATCGCCACGATGAAACACGTCGTTCCAAAACCGAAGTGTGTGATAGAAAACCGTCGTGTTTTTCTACCACACACTTCGGTTTTCAAACGACGTGTTTCATCGTGGCGATGAAAACCGTCGTGTTTCATCGTAGTCTGTGGGGCCCTTAATTCCCTGTTTCATTTAATCCTCGGGAAATTAAGTAAAAATTTAATCCTTTGGGCAATAAAGGGAAATTTAATCCCGGGGATTAAAAGACCCACTTTACTCCCTTAAAAAGTACCTTTTTAATCCCTAAAGTGCATAAATTAATTTTTCCTATTTCAAAAATCAGTGAAATTTCAAACATAAATCTTAGTACATAATAGTTTATTTAAAACTTTATCTAGTTGTTATTTCCTAGTAATTATGTATAAAAAATATAATTCGCGCCCGTGCTGCCTCCTACCGAAAAAGCCGCAAAACAACATCTACTTAATTAGTTTAAATTTTGAATAATAAAGTTCAAGAATGGCTGGGTAATCGTCTGAATCCTGCAGCATGGGGCTGGGTAAAAAGCGACAATGGTGACTTAATTCCAAACAAAACGAAACAAGAAATAGCACCACTCAGTTTGGGTAATCAACTTTTTTGTAACTGCAAAGAGAGTGTGCATGTGGACGTAATTGTTCATGTAAAAATTTGGGCATTAGGTATTCCTCAAAGTGTGGCCATTGTATGGAATTACTTGTACCAATGCTGTATTTGAAATATAAGAGGAGAAAATTATTGACTTTCTATAAGTTTTTCATCCAATTACCTCATATTAGGCTTTTTTGTTTTTGAAACACAAAATATGTGAATTAAACCCTTTGAAAATCAAAATTATTAATATTTTTTAGGTACCTTATCATTTTAAAATTGTGTAACTTTATAATTTGTTTTTATAAATTTAATATTTTAGGTTTTATAAAGGAATTCGGCAAATATATTTTTTCTATTTTTCAAGCTACAAATAGTTATTTTATACCAAAATATGCGCATTTCTAAACCCTGTAAATAAAGTATCCACACAATTTTTCCAAAATGCATCAATAAAAAAGTTATTTAGTAAAAACTGAAAAATAAAAATGGTGGATTTTTTTTTTCAGATTTATCATGCTGGGATTGGATGGGACTTTTAGTATGTTAAAAAGGACCCTTTTCCCACACATTAAAAAAAAAATTAGCTTGTCTCTAATTTGTTCTACCCCCAACTGCATATTGCCTATACTATAATGTAAAGAGGACAAATGGGGCTTCAAGCTCAAACATCAATTTTGTAATGTCTAAAATTGGGGAGGCTGGTAGAAATTAAACAAAATTCAACTTGTAACGTTATCTATTATCTATTTTTTCGTAAATTTCAATTATTAATTTATAAATATAAAGACAAACTCTAACAATAATGACGTCATTGAATAGAAAACAACTATTTTTCGTATTATTATTATTGGTTGGTTGCTTTGGTAGTTGTGGTAGGGCGAAGACGACAAGTCGATGTAACATTGACGAAAGCATCCTAAATTTCCTGAAAGCAAAATATGTTTCGTATATTATATGGTTAGATTTTAATGTGGATCTTTTTACATCACAGTAAAAGAAGTGAAGTAAAGTAAATACTACCGAACTGGGACCAGCCAGGCTGAGAACAAACAGCAGACATAAAAAAGTACGTCAAGAGCAGCGAGAGATAAAAAGAGAGATCACCATCTGTATCATACTCATTAATACGAACTTAATAGAAAGATATCCTAGAGACAGGCAAAAAAGAGTGTAAAAAAAGTAAATGCAAACGTGTCGCACAAGCCAGATTCATTTCAGGTACGTATAACCATTGTATAAACAGAGACTGTTTATACAATGGTATAACGTTGATTGCTAGACAGGACAGTGTGCAGCTGTTGTAAAAGGGTTTTTACACCCTCCTAACACTTTGAATGGCTTTGGAGATATTGTCCAAATAAGGAGTAATTTGGATTAAAACGGGATAAAGCCCGTAATTTTAACATGAATAATCGCGGCCGTGCTATTATTCAAAATAGAGCAGGAAATACCGGTTATTAATTATGTTTAACTAAAGTTAAAAAAAAAATTATTTTTGAATTTTCTTATTTTTTTTTTTCTAACCTTCTTTTGGAATGTTATCTTTTGTTAACACCCTTATTAAGTTAGAATAAGAATATACTTAATTAAGACTTAAAAATATTTGATCAATATTATGAAATAAAAAATATTTTTCAAAATATAGTAGGGGTGCGTTAATTTTGCTGGTCAGTGTATATCCGTCCATAAAATATTATTATAATTTATAATTATCATTATTATTAATATAATTATTATCAACCATGGGCATTCGGCGTTTCTCCATTTATCAAGAACAATCCCTGTTCCTTAGAATAAATGGTCTACGTCTTCTTATCTTAGAGCTTGTCGGATTATGTAGCGTCGTTATTGTGTATTTGTTGTTGTTGCCAGGTATTTTGCCTAAAGACTCTTCGAAGTTTTTGTGGATGGTTCCTGTTGCGCCGATTATCATAGGGATGATAGTTGTTTTGAGCCCCCATTCTCTGCACTTTTATTTGTAAGTGTCGGTATTTGAGAATCTTTTCGGATTCCTTTTCCTTGATTCTGGTATCTGATGGGATGGCAAAGTCGATCAATAGACATGCTTTATTTTTGAGATCTTTAATTATTATATCTGGCTTGTTCCCCATCACAGTCCTGTCTGTTTTTATTGCGTATCCCTTATTATTGATATCTCGTCTTATGTTAAAATGCTTTTTGGCTTGTGTTTATACCATGTGTCCTCAGTTTCTATTTCGTAGTGTTCGCAGATATTATAGTGGAGCGTTGAACATACTTTGTTAGGTCGTTCAGTGTATTCTTTTCTTGCAAGAGCTGGGCATCCAGTGATAATGTGCTTAATTGTTTACAGAGTCTGCATCTGGAGTCTACTTTGTCTTCTTTCTTACATAGTTGGTTGAAATGGCCTGGTCTTGTGCCGCTACTATCATAATTATTATTATTATTATTATTATTATTATTATTATTATTATTATTATTATTATTATTATTATTTTCCACAGATGTCTCTGGTAGATTTTGGCTGAACGGCCTAATCGCGGGCCAAAACGGTTCGAACAATGGCACATGTGGATAGGATAGTGCATTTCTGCATTTCCGCAATCATTTGCTTGGGTCTTTCGATCCCGACTGCTTCTAAGTTCCGCACCAGCTGCTTGTGGACAAGGCCGGTGCAGGTAATTATTATTGGGAGTATAATAATTTTTCGTAGGTTAGATATGGACTTCATTTCCTGTGCTAGCTCTGTATATTTTGATATTTTTTCAGATCTTGCGCTCCTTATGTTACCTTCCAGAGGGATTGTTATGTCGATGATGTGTGCTTCCTTTTCCTTTTTGTGAATGACATGACAAGTATATCAGGTCTGTTATGCTCTACAAATTGCTTGATGGAGTATGCCAGCAACTTTATTATGCCTTTGGAGATACCGCCTTGGGGCAAGGTAAGTGCATGCTGGATTGTTTCAGCAGATGTATGGCAGAGTCGACATTTGTCGTTTTCAATTTGTTGTTTAGCTATAAATTTCAGGTAATTTTTGGTAGGTATTACCTGGTCTTGTATCGCTGTGATAAATCCTTCTGTCGCTGCTCTAATAAGGCAGCCTTCCTGCAGGTACTGAATGAAGAGGTGAGTGTCAGCTTCTGGTCCAAATATGTTAATAGGGTATCGCCCGTGTAGCACTTTTGACTTTCACTCATGTATTGCCTCATTTTCTGGCCTTATTGTTTCAGGGACGCGTGAGATAGCAATGCTTAAAGGAGAAAGACTCTTGTCAGCATCCCTAATGGCTTTATGTAAAGGATACTCAGTTTGGTCGAAGAATTTTCGAAGTTTGTTTATCTGGGCTTCGTGGGAGGTTGTGAAGTTAACGAGTCCTCTTCCACCGTTGTTTCTGGGTAAGTACAACCTTGAGCTAGATGCGTGTGGGTGGTGCATGCGGTACTTGCTCATAGATGTCCTTATTTTTCGGTCTAAGTCTTCTAAACCAGTTTTAGACCACCTGAGTACACCAAATGTACTCTGTATAATCGGGGCCACCCACATGTTTACGGCTGTAATTTTATTTTTTGCGTAAACCTCAGTTTTAAGATTACTTTTATGCCTTCCCATAAATGCATTCAAAATACGTTTTTTCATTTCACTATGATCCGTTGGTAATGCCTGCTTCATACCTAGGTATTTGTATGTCGCCCCGATTGATAGTGGGGAGGAAACCATTTCACCTTGGAGTTTTATCTCCTCTGATTCTTGGATTTTTCCTTTTTTGCAGTGTATAAATGCACACTTATCAACGCCAATCTCCATATGGATAGCCTCGCTAAATGCACCCACAAGCTCGAGAAGTCCCTTAAGTTGTTCTGGGTTGGATGCATACACCTTCAAGTTGTCCATGTAGAGACAGAGCTGGGCAAAGCCCTCAGTGAAAGGGCTTGAAGCACTAAGCCCTAAACCCTTTCTCGAAGTGCTTTCAATTTCAAGCACAAATTCCTTTTTATTTTCAAAAGTGCTTCACAAGCACAAAGCCCTCAAAGTGCTTTGTGCTTGGCAAGCACAAAGCCCCCAAAGTATTTTATAAAGTGCTTGAAGCACATCAAAAGTGCATGGGGTACCTCACAAAGGGCTTTGAAGCTCTTTAAATGTGCTTGAAGCTATTTAAATGTGCTTGAAGCTCTTTAAATGTGCTTGAAGCTCTTCAAATGTGCTTGAAGCTCTTTAAATTTGCTCAAAGCTCTTTAAATGTGCATGCAGCTTTTTAAATGTGCTTGAAGCCCCTTGAATATGCTCTGAAATCTTAGTACTCCTAACAACGCTAGTGAGCAATAAAAATACAAAAGCTTACTTTCAATTTCCTCAGTTCATTTGACTAAAGAATCTTTATATTTTGTATTTTTTTGCAAATTACAATTACAATAATTGTGAATGGTAAATGGTATTGGTAACCAAAATAATTGTTAGTGTGGGTAATTTTTTTTTTACATGGTATCCTATCCTTACACATCACAACAACTCAGGCTAATTTCATGAAATTACTAAAATTGTATTATTTGTCATTTTCTTTGATGGCGTCACAAAAAAATTAGCATATCGATACTGATATCGAAATATGGATTTAAAATATCGATGCCATTTGACGAGTATCGATATTTTTAAAATATCGTACCTATTGAGAATAGAAATATCGATAAGCGAAAATCTAGATTCTAGATAAATATCAATCAAAAAATTCGGTGGTATGCGGTAAGCATTCCGACACAGAATAGATATCAGAATTAAGCAACAAAACACATCGATTCAAAATTTTTAGGTGGGGGATAGGTTAAATGATGGTCAATTCAAATTTCTTTTAGAGTGCTTCAAGCCCTTTTAAAGTGCTTCAAGCCCTTTCAAAGTGCTTCAACCCCGTTTAAATTGCTTCAAGCCCTTTTAGAGTGTTTCAAGTCCTTTCAAAGTGCTTCAAGCCCTTTTAAAGTGCTTCAAGCCCTTTGGAAGTGCTTTAAGCTTCCAAAAGTGCTTCAAGCGCTCTAAAAGTAATTGAAGCTCATTGAAAGGGCTTGAATTACTTTTTTTCAATTACAAATTACCAAGCACTTTTCTGAAGTAATTGACTTTGCAAACCCCAATTACAAATATGTAAAAGGGCTTCAAGCATTTTTACAAGCACAAAGCACTCAAGCCCTGCCCAGCTCTGAGAGGAGATGGCAGATTTTTACAATTGGTGATTTTTGTATTACATAGCCGTATTTTCCTGACTCAAGCATAAAGCTAAGTGGGTCGATTGCTATACAGAATAGCAGCGGGCTAAAGGCTCGCTTTAGGCTCGCTTTCCTCGGATGCGGGACGGAGACGGAACGGGTGCCGCAGACGTTGCCGGCATTAAAAATATAAAGATGTGCTTTCCTAAGCAGCGGTGGCGCGACGGCGGCGGAGCGCAGTTTTTTTGACGCTAGCGGAATCACGCCACCGGTCGGTCGACAGGCAACTTCGACGGAGCGCAACACGGACGGAATATTATAAATTTAAAAATATCGAGTTTTTCAGAAGAGCAAAGTGAGTTGTTGATTGATTTTAGTGTGGCAGTATCTTGTGTTGTATAATTTATCTATTTATATATGTCTAATGAAATAAAAAATAGCCTATTTTCACACACGGATTACCGAACCGCCCACGTTGCGTCGCCTTCGAGGAAAGCACTAGCTTCCAAGCGCGTTACGCCAGGAAGCGCTATGACTCCGTCACGCTTGCGTTCCGTCTCCGTTCCGCATCCGAGGAAAGCGAGCCTTTTCCTCGGATGCGGGACGGAGACGGAACGGGTGCCGCAGACGTTGCCGGCATTAAAAATATAAAGATGTGCTTTCCTAAGCAGCGGTGGCGCGACGACGGCGGAGCGCAGTTTTTTTGACGCTAGCGGAATCACGCCACCGGTCGGTCGACAGGCAACTTCGA